AATTTTTTGCCATGTTAGCTCCTTATAATGAGGGCCCACTTGTCAGAAAGCGATCAAACGACTCAAATCACCCGATCAGTGCTTTTTGCAATGAGATTAGAGAAATTCGGTGTTTTTTGCAACGAATTAGCGATTTAATGATTTTTTTTGCAAACTTAGCCGCAAATATGGTAGTTTTTTGCAATTGACTCCCAAACCTCTCTACTAGCTCACACCTTTTCGCTAGTCGGGTCCAGCACCGAGGGAGCACAAGGCCCACTTTCACCATTCAAGAAAACACCAGAAGCCGAGTAATTCACCGGCCTGCACTAGGATACCGCTGCACAATCTACTCATGTCTCTAGAGAGAGGACATGTGTTGGATGGTGGGTTACAACCAGATAAAAAATTCATCGTATACACGCAATACCCAAGAGAATGCTGCCGCTACAACCACCTCGTCTCACGACAACCTAACCCGTCATCCTTTCGGGGCACCGTTGAGGAAGGCAACTACACACCTCTATTGTCGCCGAGCTTCCTCCTTGTCCATGCACATATGTGTTAGAGGCTGCTGTCCGCAACGGTGCAACCTGACGAATGCCAATGGCGCATGTCCTTTACCTCATCCCCACGGAGACCGGCACGCGAGTGCCACCATCGCTGACGACGGCGGAGAGGGCCACGATTGGCGCCACACCATTGCCAGCCGATCTGCGCCGCCACGAGTTAATTGCAAGAAACCACCATATTTAGGGCTTCATTTGCGAAAAACTACCCAATGCCTAATTATTTGCAAAAGTCACCATGCATTCAGTGAACTTTTTGCAAAAACCACTGATCAGGTGATTTAACCCGATTAATCACTTTCTAACAAATGGGGCCGGATTGTCAGAAGTTGGCTTAGCAAAAAGTTTACACACACCCCTGGATCTAAAACAGAAAAGCAATCCAGTCCTTGTTCCCAGTTGGTTGTGGTCAAACGGCGCACATGGACGAACACGGAACACCTGAGGACGGCTGCTGCATGCTGCCTCCGCAACTGCTGAGTGTGCGGCTGCCCACGGCTGGTGCTGCTCGCCGCTGCAGCTACTGCTGCTCGTCGTAGCTCCCCGCCATTGCGGCTGCCCCCGGTTGTTGCTGCTCGCCTCCGTAGCTCCCCACCGCAGCTGCTGCTCGCCGCTGGTGCCCGGGCTGCTGCTCACCGCTAGTGCCCGGACGAGCCAGGTACACGGCCGGCTGTTGCCATGGCAAGGACGAGGAGAGCAGGTAGCAGTAGGAAGCAAGGTGGACCGCTCAACGGTCGGCGCAACTCCGGCAACACAGCGGCAAGGCAGGGTGGAGCTTCTAACAACGGCGACAGGAGACAGTGGGGGTGACGGGAGCCGGGGGGAGCTCCGGGAGCACAGCGGAGCTTCCGGCGACGGGCTTCCGATAGCGACAACGGGATCCGGTGGTGGTGACGGGAGTGACGAGAACTGCCTCCTCCGATCGGATAGGGAGCAGGGATAGGCCGGATTGCTTTTCTATTTTAGTTTCATGGGTGTCTATGTAATTGTTTTTGTTAGTTTACTCCTTAAACTCCGGTCCCATTTGTCAGAAAGTGATTAAATGAGACAAAACTCTCAATCAGTGCTTTTTGCAAAATGTTTACTGAATGCGCGGTGACTTTTGAAAATAATTAGGAACCAAGTAGTTTTTCGCAAGTGAAACCCCAAATGTGGTGGGTTTTTTTTTTTTTTTTTTTGCTTTTAACTCGCGCCGCTACACATCAAACCTTTCTACTCCAACAGGTGCACAGCATGTTATAGTGCTATTTTTATAAAACTACTCACTGTACTAAAGAAGGAACCATCCAAGAGGGGTTTAAACCAACTTGCCACCTTTGGCTTTAAGCATATTATCCCTGTTCGATTAAATCATTTGTCAACGCAACAAAGATCTGTATGGGTTTATTACTGAAATGCCTCTGATCGGCTAGTCCATGGGATGAAGAGTTTTTTAGTGGAAGTCTCGGGCTCAGAGAAGAGGATCATGTTGTGAAAAGAGCTTGGACAAATGATCATATTGTAAGGGAAACATATACATGTAATAAAGAGGTCTCAGTTTTTGAACGTCTGAGCAAGAGCAACAAGATGGGAGTAGTTTCACGCTCAAGTGTATTGCTACAACTATTGGCTTAAATCTTGTTTTGCATAATTATCGTTTTTTAGCAACAAATCATTCAAGGTGCTGGTTGTAGACTGTATGCACGCTTCTATGGGAGATAGCAGTTTTTTTTTTTGAGGGATGGAAGATAGCAGATGTGATTATGCAAAAATAACACTCCTAGAAAATACTTAATCACCACACTTCATGTTGGCCGGTCCAACCAAAGGTTGATTTTATCATAACACGCCATAATTAACAATCCATATCATGCATATCACGCAGGCACATATATAGTATAGTTTGCAATTGGAGTATATAGTTACTTCGAATTTGCACTAGGGCAGACGAGAATGTTTCACGAAACTAAAGGACAGGCACACTCAAACTATCTAACAGATACCGGCACCATCATCCGGAATTAACTAACTCAAAATATCTTGTGCTAAATTAACTACTACTCAAAATATCACGGGCTAAAAATCTCTGCCGCCGGCTTGATTGGATCACTTGGCGACGGCGGGCCTACTGCTGCAAGCCAAGCTTATTTCTCAACGGTGACGGAGACCCTGCCGCCGCCAACGCTGTTCTTTGTGACTTTGACGGTAGGCAGCTCGACATTCTTCCCCTTCTTGGGAGTCGACCTGTAGTAGCAGCCGTAGAGGATCAGCTGGGCGAGGCCAAAGACGGCACCGAGTCCATTGGGGATCTGCACGGAATCAAAAGATAGTTAGATCGATGCATGGAGTTCTCGTTTCTCTGGCGTTTCGAAGATGCGATTGTAGTACTGACCGTGATGTAGAGGTCGAACTTGATGAGCGCATAGGCCGTCCAGCAGCAGCCGTTGAGGAAGTTCACCAGGGAGAGGACGAATGGCATGTACTCCACGCTCCTGGTCTTGATCACTTTACCCTGCAAGCAGCACAATATTACGTTCACCAGCAAGTAAAAGCACACGTCTCATTAAATATATACCGTGTAGATTAACGAGGAAACATATTCACTGGATAATTAACAGCAGCCATATATTGTTGAACTCTACACCTGGACCACATGACCCACGGGATGGAGCCAATGTTGATGGCTGGTACCGTATCCTTTTCCATTAATTAGGATATCACCACCTCAAAGAGTTGGCAAAAGGGAAGGGTCACAAGATGCAAAGATCACAACACTATATGCATGCATCCCTAGGCATCACACATATCTGATGAAGTGCTAGATCGTCACAGGTTTTAGTTAGATCGTGAACCGTTCTTTCCGATCCTTCCCGTCACTCAACAGCCAACACGAGAGTTTGGCGAGAGCAACAGAAAGCATGGTTGGCTGGCTACACGGGATGCAAGTACAGATACGTAAGTAGACGACACGTACGGGCTGTGTGTTGCCTATTGTGGTGAATAAACTGTATGCGTTTTGACCTAACATATAATTAAGCATGCAAGGCAACATCTTGTCAAAGAACTTTGAAGATCATGACGATTTGGCCAAAAAGGCAGCACGTTTGTTTAGACAGGTTTGATACGATGCTTAAAATAGGAAGGTGTGTGTACATTATCCTTTCCCATCAATTGTATTCCAAAGTAAACAACGCCGCCGTATATAGAAATAGAAACAAACGGATCGAGGATTGAAGAGTGGATCAAGCGATGGATCGAGCACGTACCATGATGGTGAGCGGGGAGGCGTACATGACCGAGCCGAAGATGACGCAGAGGATGCCGACGATCATGGAGCGCTTCTCGTGGGTGTGGGCGCCGAGGAGCACGCCGGCCACCACGGCCACCATGAACAAGGCCTCGACGGCGAGCACGCCGAGCATCTTCAACTGCACGCGCGCATTGGCATGCATGGGTTAGGTAGGGGCAGATCTTGTATACATACAGAAATGAACGCCGAAAAGAGACAATACTACTACGTACCCGTGTGTTCCTGGTGGCGTAGATGAAGAATATGATGAGGTAGGCGCTCTCGATGACGAGCCCGATCCCGTTGATGGTGACGACGAGGATGCTGTTGGGGTGGACGATGGGGAGGCCGTAGAAGACCCAGAGCATGCAGTTGAGCAGCGTCGCCAGGTAGGGGTCCGGCTTGAACTCCTCCACGTCCTTGGCCTTGATGATCCGCCAGAACGTCGGCCTGCACAGACAAGCATCAGATCCATACCCCAGTTGTCACCGGCAACCACCTTCCATGCATAGATTAGATTGGACCAGCGGAGGGCGGAGGGCGGCGGCGGGATGAGAGGAGGAGGGTGGCGGCTTACACAGGGGAGAGGAAGAGCCCGAAGGAGATGACATTGCCGACGATGCCGACGATGTTGCGGGCGGCGTCGGCGGAAACCATCTTGCTATCTTGATCGCCGGGAACACAGCTCGACTGGAGGAAACGACTTGGGGAATGGGGATTTGGGGTGATCGAAGCTGGGAGGCCGGGCAGAGCTTATATAGTCGTGGGTGGCGGGTTCGTCCTCCCCAAGTAAGGAGTTACTATCGGATATGGCTTTCCTGACGTGGAGGTAAACTACGATTTTGTTTGTTTGTTTGACAAATGGAGGTAAGCTCTAATATGGTTAGGAGTTAGATATTCCCTACGGTCCAAGTTCAACTGGAATTGTCGTACCGGAAGAAATCCAAACATATTATGGAAGGTGGTTAAATCTCTTATACGATATGGTTAAGAGTTAGTTACTCTTCCTCCGTTCAAATTTCGATCGGAGTTGAAGTCCAACGAACCGAGTAACCTGCCATCCTGACTGGACGCCGTGCTCGCGTCACAGTGTATTCAAGCTCCCGGCTTCGCTATGAGATGATAATACTACTTCGAAGCAAGTAGCTTTCTCACAGGACGTCAAGGAATTGCTAAAAATGTATGCACATTTTTTTGACCCAGTAAATCCTAAACTTTCGGACTTTAAGCATGACAGCCTGAACGTTTTCATAACAACTTTAGTTGGCGCGAGGTGGTAAGTTTAGTTGGTAAGACATGGCGATTTTCTAAAGTTGTCATGAAAAATTGTCGGGTTGCCATGCTTAAAATCAAAACGTCTGGGTTGCCATGCTTAAAATCCGAACGTATTATCGATTTTTTTATAAAAACATCGACATACTCTCTTTTATTAATTAAGTAAACAAATTACATAGCCTTTTAATACACCCTGGAGCAGAAAGAATAACACAAAGACTACTATAGAGCTCAAATAAGATTTAGCTAACAAATAAGCAGGAACATTAATATGCCGACAATTGTGATTCTAGACCACAAGTCGAAGTCGAATGCTACATGCCTAATGTCCACCACCACTGCACCAACAGATGAGCGTCTTGAGTATGTATGAGGTGTTGCACCAATGAAAGACAATCTGAAGCAATGCTCACCGTGCATAAATTCTTTTCTCATGCCAAATAGATTTTTTGATAAAGAGCGGATTTTATTGACTCATAATATTGCATTAAAAGAATACAATCACTATAAGCACATGTCCGGCCTCTGCATGGTTCTCGTGCCAAATAGATAGAAGGGCCGGCCAAAGACTTGGTGATCGGATCTCGAGATCCATCATCTAGTCCCGGCTGCGAGTTGGGGAGACATGGTTGCCGGTGAAAATCGAGCCGTTGGCAGGCGATGGCGGCGTTCTACGCCGTTACCTTGATGGAGGCATCGTCGTGTAACTACTGTCGACCCACTCGTGCTGCTCTGGGGGAAACTCTAGGATCTGGTGTTCCAGATCGGACGATGGCGGCACTGCGGTGTCGTTCCTATCTTGGGAGCATCGTTTGCGGAGCAGCGCTGGAAGTCAGAGGCAGGAGGTGGAGCGGCTTCGTCTTGCACGGAGCTTCGGTGGAGATGTTAAGTCATGCCTGACCGACAGGTGCTACGCTTTATCATGCCGGGTCAGCAGGTGCTACGCACGACAGATCTTCCAAAGACTTCAAGCTGTGTTGGCTGGTGATACTTGGCAGCATGGTGCTGAGGTGTATCAGTGGCGACCGCGACGTGCACAGTTGTTTGCATGCAGGGAGGAGGTGCCGTGGTGGCGTCGACGATAACTAGACCGAGCAAGGTTGATGCATCAATACAGTTCTGAAGATGGAGCGGTGGCAGTTGGCGGCGGCGGCCTCTGAGAGCACGCCGGACCGGCGAGACCCATGCCCGGCAGGCTTCCTGGATGGATCCTCAGGTCTTAGATGTTAGGTTTGGCTGCGATGTATGTTTGGTATTAGGCCCAAGCTATCTGCGCCCCTTCATCAACTCGATAGGTGTAGCGACAGTTTGTTACTTAGACGGCGGCTTTAGTCTTACTGTGGTATTACTTTGTAAGGTCTTACTCCCTCCTTCCATCTATATAAGGCCTAATGCGTTTTTTGAGGCTAACTTTGACCAAATGTTAGAGCAATAATATATGCCATGCAACTTACACAAAGCATACCGCCAAATTCGTATGTGAAAGGAGCTTTCAATGATATAATTTTTACATTACATGTCATGTACTATTAATTTTGTCAATAGTCAAAGACGGTCTTGAAAAACGCATTAGGCCCTATATAGATAGAAGGAGGGAGTATAAAAATAATTAATAAAGTGGCCGTATGCATCGCCCAGATGCAGAGGATGGGGTCATCCTCCTTTTCTAAAAACAATAGATAAAAGGGCGAAGAGCCATCCCCTCAACTAGTTCAAGATCTAAGGAAGTAGGGATATGTTCAAAACAAGCTACTACGCACAGACCACACCAAACAATAGTGACACCAAATGACGAAAAGACAGCTAAACAGAACCGACTAGAACTACTGCCAACTAGAGATACACTCTTCTATTCTTCCTACTTTTGAAATCAGCAATTATATCATCCCAAGGAGTTTTTTACACAATTTCTCGTTCAATCTATAGCAACAAACTCCCTGTAAGAAAATCATATTCCATACGACTACATAGTCTGGACTTGATAATCTTCAAGCTCGAGAAAGCACGCTCAACACTTGCAGTGGAAACGGAGAGTAACAAGTAATCGAAGCAACCTATTGATACGTCTCGAACGTATCTACTTTTTCTCACGCTTTTCCTCTTATTTTGGACTCTAATTTCCATGATTTGAATGAAACTAACTCCGGACTGATGTTGTTTTCAGCAGAACTATCATGGTGTTGTTTTTGTGCAGAAATAAAAGTACTCGGAATGGAACGAAACTTTGCGAGGAATTTTTATATAATATATAAGAATTTCTAGAGCCAAGACCTACCAGAGAGGGGCCCCTGGGTGGGCACAACCCACCAGGGCGCGCCCCCTCTCCTGGCGCGCCCAGGTGGGTTGTCCCCACTTGCTGGCCCTGTAGGCCCTGAAACCGACGCTATAGAATCCTATTTTCAAAGAAAAAATCAGGGAGAAGGAATTATCGTGATCCACGGGATGGAGCCGCTGCTAAGCCCTGTTCTTCCTCGGGAGGGCAGATCTGGAGTCCGTTTGGGCTCCAGAGAGAGGGATCTTCGTTCTTCGTCATCACCAACCCTTCTCCATCGCCAATTCCATGATGCTCCCCACCGGGAGTGAGTAATTTCTTCATAGGCTCACTGGTCGGTGAGGAGTTGGATGAGATTCATCATGTAATCGAGTTAGTTTTGTTAGGGTTTGATCCCTAGTATCCACTATGTTCTTAGATTGATGTTGCTATGACTTTGCCGTGCTTAATGCTTGTCACTTTGGGCCCGAGTGACATGATTTCAGATCTGAACCATTTATGTTACCATCATTATATTCATGTTCTAGATCCGATCTTGCAAGTTATAGTCACCTACTACGTGTTATGATCCGGTAACCCCGGAGTGACAATAACCGGGACTTCTTCCGGTGATTACTGTAGTTTGAGGAGTTCATGTATTGACAATGGGTTAATGCTTTGTTCCGGTTCTCTATTAAAAGGAGGCCTTAATATCCCTTAGTTTTCAATATGGACCCCGCTGCTATGGGAAGGTAGGACAAAAGATGTCATGCAAGTTTTTTTAATAAAGCACGTATGAATATTTACGGAATACATACCTACATTATATCGATGAACTGGAGCTAGTGCTGTATCGCCCTTGGTTATAACTGTCACATGATGAATATCATCCAACAAGTCACCAATCCAATGCCTACTAAATTTTCCATATTGTTTTTGCTAAGTACTACTGCTATCATCACTGTTACACTTGCTACAAAATTACTTGTATCACTATTACTATTATTATTGCTGCTGTCACTACTATCAAAACTATCATACTACTTTGCTACTGATCACTTTGTTGTAGATAATTAATCTCCAGGTGTGGTTGAATTGACAACTCAGTTGCTAATACCTTCAAATATTCTTTGGTTCCCATTGTGCCGAATCTATAAATTTGGGTTGAATACTCTATCCTCGAAAACTATTGTGATCCCCTATACTTGTGGGTTATCAAGACCTTTTTCTAGCGCCGTTGCCGAGGAGTATAGCTATATTTGTTGAGTCACTTGGGATTATTATTATCATATTATCACTATGAAGAATCTGAAGGATCCTCTAAGATATTTCCCTCAAAGACGAGGAGAGGTAAGGAACTGCCATCCAGTTCTGCTTCAGATTCACCTTATGTTATGAGTAAACTTGCTACACCACCACATGCTATCAATTCTGATATGTCGCAAGTTATTGATGATGCTACTTCTACTATGAATGATGCTTATGATGATGCTAGTACCTTGCTTGTTAATGATGATGTGCCACTTGGTGAATTTCTTGATGAACAAATTGCTAGAGTAATACAACATGATGTTGTTGAATCTGATGATGGGCTTGAAACTGAATCTCGTGAAACGCCTGCTAGAACTAGCCCTCCTAGATATGAATTGCCTAAGGTACCAGAAGGTTATGTTATGAGTGAAGAAACAACTAGAGATATTCTTGCTTGTAATGATAGAGATGATCTAGAGAAATTACTACACAAGTATAAAGAAAAATCTCTAAATGCTAGAATGAAATGTGATCCTAAGTTTGCTACTTCATCTATCTTTATTGATGATAAGGATTATGAATTCTCTGTCGACCCAGAGTTAATTACTTTGGTTGAATCTGATCCTTTCCATGGTTATGAAACTGAAACTGTTGTGGCACATCTTACTAAGCTGAATGATATAGCCACCTTTTTTACTCATGATGAGAAAGCTTGCTACTACTTTACTCTCAAATTATTTTCTTTCTCATTAAAGGGTGATGCTAAAGCTTGGTACAATACTCTTGCTCCTGGCTGTGTGCGTAGTCCCTAGGATATGATTTATTACTTCTCTGAAAAATATTTCCCTGCTCATAAGAAACAAGTTGCCTTACATGATAT